GTGAGGAACGAAAGAACGACCAAGGATAATAAACCTTACCAAAGGCCTCGAAGCGAAAACACCAGGAGTGACAGTCGAAACACCCATCGACCGTTGAGCAGAGAAGACGGCGAGAAACGTGTATCATCGACGTGGCCGGACATCGGTAACCTCTCTATCTCTCATGCGCACTTGGTTGGTGTATTGAAAGAGATGGGTGGAACCGTAACATGGCCTCAAAAAATGAAGACACCTGACGATAAAAGAGATACCTCAAAGTGGTGTGAATTCCACAATGATCATGGTCACATGACTGAGGATTGCATCACGCTGAGAATGGAAGTAAACGAGCTGCTAAAAAAAGGTCACTTGAGAGAATACCTATCTGATAGAGCTCGAAATCGAATGGATAATCGAAACGACCAACAAGCGGTCATCAAAACCGCCCCTATGTCACCTCCGAAACATGATCGAGTTATCAATGTTATTTCAGAAGGTTCAGAAGTGAGTGGAATAACCCACTCTGCTGCTAAAAGGAATACCCGAGCTGTCAAGAACCTTCACAGCAAGGAAACAAATATGCAAGACGATATACCAACATGCACCATAAGCTTCTCAACAGGTGGATGCAACATGACAACCCCGCATCATGATGCGTTAGTCATATCTTTGACGGTTGCTAACTGTTTGATGAAAAGAATCCTGGTCGACAATGGAAGCTCTACGAATATCCTCTTTATTCAAGCTTACAAAGAGTTGGGTTTGGATGAAGCCGGATTAACACGCAAATCCACGCCCCTCGTGGGATTCAGCGGTGAGGTAAAGTATACCATAGGCGAAGTCACACTACCAGTATATACAGAGGGAATTAATAAGCACACAAAATTTATGGTAGTAGACTGCGCCTCAGCTTACAACGCGATTATGGGACGTTCTTGGATCCACGACATGGAAGCAATACCGTCAACTCTCCACCAAGTTATCAAATTTCCTACCCCATGGGGAGTGAAAGAGATAGTTGGAGATCAGGAGAACTCACGATCATGTTATCAAACTACCTTGAAAGGTAAAAGCCAACAATTATAGCAACTGCAGAGCCCACCACCGGCCACCCACAATGAAGAACCGGAGGTAGAACAACTTGATGAGGTGCCTTTACTCGAAGATGATCCTGACAAGAGAGTGAACGTGGGTTCAAAGCTTCCCGTTGATATAAGAAGAAGACTTATCGACTTTCTGAGATCAAACGCTGATTGCTTTGCTTGGTCACACGCTGACATGCCCGGAATTAATCCAGACGTTATCATGCATCATCTACAGGTCGACCCAGACTACCAACCTGTCAGACAGAAACGAAGAAAGTTTGCTGTTGAACGTGACGCGATAATCAACAAAGAAGTTCAAAATCTGTTGGATGCTGGATTCATTCGTGAAGTACAGTACCCGGATTGGCTAGCCAATGTGGTAGTGGTTCGGAAAAAGAATGGAAAGTGGAGGGTTTGCATAGATTTTACGGATCTTAATAAGGCATGTCCTAAAGATCCATTCCCATTGCCCCACATTGACAAGCTAGTAGACGCGACAGCTGGTCATCAATTGATGAGTTTCATGGATGCCTTCAGCGGCTACAACAAAATCCTAATGCATCCAGAAGACCAGGAGAAAACGTCGTTCATGACATCACGAGGCATATATTGCTACAAAGTGATGCCGTTCGGTTTAAAAAACGCTGGATCCACCTATCAAAGACTCGTGAACATGATGTTCGCAGAACAAATTGGCCAAACTATGGAAGTCTATATTGACGACATGTTGGTCAAATCACTAGAGGCAGAAGACCACATCTTGCACCTGCATCAAGCTTTTACCATACTTCGAAAGTACAACATGAAGTTAAACCCTTCAAAATGTTCATTTGGTGTCAGTTCGGGCAAGTTTCTTGGGTATATCGTCACATTTCGAGGAATAGAAGCCAATCTAGATCAAATAAGAGCAATCCAAGGCATCGCTCCTCCGAGAAACATAAATGAGGTACAGAAACTTACCGGAAGGATGGCTGCGCTCAGTAGATTCATCTCAAGACTTTCCGACAGATCACACCCGTTTTTTGCAACTTTAAGAAAGCCAAGGCCAGAAGACTTTGTGTGGGACGACATGTGTGAGGAAGCACTAAAACAATTGAAACAGTACCTCACTTCACCTCCAGTTTTGTCAAAGCCTAAGAACGGAGAAGTATTATTGTAGTATCTTGCCGTTTTAGAGCACGCTGTTAGTGGACTCCTTGTACGCGAGGAAGGAAATAAGCAATACCCGGTATACTACGTAAGTAAATCTCTATTGGAAGCAGAAACAAGGTATAGTCACTTGGAGAAGCTGGCGCTTGTGTTGGTAACTGCTGCGAGGAAGCTGCGTCCTTACTTTCAAGCCCATCCAATTGTGTTAGTCACCTCATCCCCAATAAAAGCATTTCTCCATAAGCCAGAAATGTCGGGAAGACTAGCAAAGTGGGCTGTCGAATTGGGAGAATATGACATTATATATAGGCCATCTACAGCCATCAAATCACAAGTGTTAGCTGATTTCGTGGCAGAATTTGCGCCTGGCATGACCGTGGAAGTGGAAGAAGAGGTAAAAACACTTCACGAAGGAGCCAACAATGGTGAATGGAAGTTGTATGTTGATGGTTCTAGCAACATTCGAGGAATCGGTCTTGGTTTAGTTCTCATAAATCCAATAGGCGTGATAGCGTCAAGGGCAATTAGATGCAACTTTCGGGCTACCAATAACGAAGCTGAATACGAGGCACTTATCGCCGGTTTAACGTTGGCACACGAACTCGGGGCTCAAATCTGGAAGTTTATAGCGACTCACAACTAGTCGTGAATCAAACTCAAGGAGATTATCAAGCTAAGGATTCTAGTATGGCGAGATACTTGAATGTTACGAAGGAGCTTCTCAAAACATTCGAGAGTTATAAAATCTGCCAAATTCCGAGGGAAGAAAATAGTCATGCAGATGCACTCGCCAATCTAGGATCAACGCTCAAAACTGAGACGCCGATCGATGTACCACTACTAATTTTGCAATGGCCAGCCACTAACAAAGACATGCACGAATCTTGTGTCACGACAGCAAGCGACACGCCGAACTGGATGACGCCAATCCTCAATTATCTCCGAGATGGAGTGTTACCAATGGATCGTGCCGAATGTAGAAAGATCAAGCAACAAGCTGCACGTTACGCTCTCGACAGAGGACATTTGTATCGCCGATCATTTTCCGGTCCATACTTGAAATGTATCACGGCCGCCGAAGCTAAGACAGTCTTAGTGGAATTACATTCAGGGGAGTGCGGAAACCATTCTGGCGCACGAAACCTAGTGTTAAGAGCCAAGAGGGTTGGGTATTACTGGCCGACAATGCACGATGATGCTGTGAGATTCGTCCGTCATTGCGAAAAATGTCAAAGGTATGCTACTATTTCAAAACTTCCACCAGAAAATCTAAAAACCATTAGCTCGCCGTGGCCATTCATGAAGTGGGGGATGGACATAGTGGGGAAGCTGCCCACGGCACCTGCCCAAAAGGTTTTTCTACTAGTGGTAACCGACTATTTCTCAAAGTGGGTGGAAGCGGAAGCATTCAGCCAAATCAGAGAGAAAGAAGTTAGTAGCTTTATATGGAAAAATGTTATATGCATGTTCGGAGTCCCTCACGAGATTGTCACTGACAACGGACCTCAGTTTGCAAGTAATAACTTCAAAGATTTCTGCAACGATTGGGGGATAAAGTTAAGCTTTGCAACGCCTAGACACCTGCAGTCTAATGGCCAAGCAGAAGCTTCAAACAAGACTATCGTGAAGATGTTGAAAAAACGTCTAGAGAAGTCTAAAGGCAAATGGGTGGAGGAGCTCCCAGGTGTTTTGTGGGCATACCGTACCACGACCAAGTCATCGACCGGTGAAACACCATTCTCTCTAGTATATGGGATGGAAGCAGTCGTACCATGTGAAGTCAATGTAAAATCGGCACGAACCGAGCATCCTAACGTGCAAGGAAACGAAGAGATGATGAATCTCGAACTCGATCTATTGGACGAGAAAAGAGAAGCGGCGAAACTTCGAAATTGGTGTTACCAACAAGAAGTCGCCAGAAGCTACAACAAAAGTGTAAGGACGAGAACATTTCAAGTAGGCGAATGGGTGCTCAGGCGTACTTTTCAGAATACAGTGGAACACGGCGCTGGAAAGCTCGGACCCAATTGGGAAGGCCCTTACAAGATCGTCGAGGTACGAGGATCAGGAGCTTACAAGCTGCAAGACGAAAGAGGAAAAACCCTCTCTAACAGCTGGAACGCCCTGCATCTCAAAAAATATTATTTTTAATCGGCTTTGGTTTTGAGCTTTGGATTTGATATGGATTTTTTCGCGTTTTTCTGATTATGCATGTCCCAAGTTATGGACGACAACTTCAATAAAATTTGTTTTAAGGAACACATTCTATTATGAAGGGCACGACCCAAACAAATACGGGATAAAGCATTTTATACACAGATACGTGAAGTACCTGTGTAGAACATGTTCTCCATTAAAAGTCGGGTAGACAAAATTGCAGCTCGAACACAAAGGTTTACCAGCGAAATACTCGCTACAAACCGCTTATTAGCGAGACATCGCTACAAAACGTGAATGACTTCCGTGTTAACACGAGGATTGAAAACAAAATATGTCAACTTGACAGCAAAAGAATTGCTAACAAGAATCCTATAATAAAAGTCGTGCTCACAATAGAGAAAGTCGAGCACGGTTTCAAAAAAAAAAAAAAAAAAAAAAAAGAAGAAAGTCGTGCTCACAATAGAGAAAGTCGAGCACGGTTTCAAAAAAAAAAAAAAAAAAAAAGTCATGCTCACAATAGTGGAAGTCGAGCACGGTTTCACAAAAAAAAAAAAAAAAAAAAATGGTTGTGTCATGATCAGTGTGTCACGATCAGTGGCAAAATCAACTGCGATAGAGTGGCATGACTTCGAAAACAAATAAAGCTGTACTAAAATGGAAAATTTTGAACAGCACGACTCTAAGTCAAGCACGACGAGAAAAAGTTTTAACATGAAAATCAAGCATTTTCTAATGCTATCTAATTTCGTTAACTAACTTCAAAAGAAGAAAGGGTCTATCGTCCCAAAGACCAGAATAAGGTAATCTAAAATCCATCTGGTTACAACAAAAGATAAGTGTTTTCATGCCAACGTGACACTTGCAACCGCAAGAAGCGCTCCACACTCACATTTAGCAGCTGCAAAAAGAAATAACCTAACCACTAAACGTAAGGGTCAAGACGACTCATGGAACAATGGACGGAGCCTCAGATGTGTCATGCTCTGAAGCAGGTGGCTCTCTAGCCTCAATAGCAACAAGAGACTCTTCGAAAACTGGAGGGGAAATTCCTTCGAACTGTGCTTGAATACGCATAACGTGCTTATACTGTGCGTCCAAGTCATCTAACTTCCACTTCTTGTTATCACCTAGCAAGCATTCTCGCGCAGCCTCCCAACGGGCAATGATAGCCGCTCCACTCAAATACAGGTCGAGCTCATGTTTCATGACATCATTCCGCTTCTTGAGGGCCGCAATCTCCTTCTCAAAGGAGTCTTTTGTTTTCTCAAAGCTTTCGGCCTCAGCTTGTAGTCCAAGGATGGACGAGTCACTACCTAAAAGGAAATGTAGACATTACCTAAAAGGAAAAAGGAGGAAAGCAAGTTAGAGGGTCAGGAGTTACAAAGTAAAATAATAAAAATCGTAGGAAGTACCTTGAGGAGGTCAGCGTAAGCTTCATCACTACTAGTGGAAGCGTCAGTGACTAAAGATGCAAGATTATGAGAAAGAATCTTTGATTTCAATTCCTCGGCGGCTAACGCAGCTTCCGTGCACGTCAAATTCCCGACCTGAGAAGTCGTCGTCACCACAGTTGTGTCACGATGGCTGAATTTAGGACGCCTAGCTGCAGAGGATGTCGCAGTATTTCCGTCGGCTTTGCGTTTGACCACAGAAGGAACCTCTATACACTGCAACTCATCTCCAGAATCGGGTAAGGTGTGAACTGATATTGATGGGTTGGCCTCTAATAGTTTCCCAGATGCTGCAAGGAATTCCGAATAAGCATCAGTAACAGAACGCCAGTGACTGTTTGACATGTCAAACCCTGCAAAAAATGCAAAAAGAATAATGTATTAAGATAACTGCATGTGGTCGTCAACTGAAAAGGAACATGACATTGAATGAGAGCCAAACCCCAAATTGTGCTGCCCTCCAAACCAAATCGACTAGTTAAAAACTCAACGAAACGGTATTGAAGTGGACGCGCTAAAATTTTAGAAGCTCCAGCCCTTCCAACTGTTCCTTCTGTTTTGCTCTTGGCACGCACGTCTGCACATAGGAAAAGAACAGACATGAGGAAAAGAGTTAGTGAAATCTGAAGTTCAAATCTTATTTCAGACATACACCTACCAGCACGACGCCAAGTAGTAGGAAAACCCATACTATGACCAACTGTCATAAACATATACTTTTTTCGCCATTGATCCTTGCTTAGGTCTTTACTATCCATGTGAATATCAATCACTAAAGGACAATTGCGCCGTGGGTGCAAAGAGTATCGGTCAATGTCCCCAGGAAGTTTCATGAAATAGTACCCATACAAAACCTCTTTGACGCCTATGTTGATCCTGTAGAATTCTGCAAAATTCTGAGTAGCCATCAACACTCTCCATACAGTTGGTGATAATTGACCAGGTGAAATAGAAAAGTGTGTCGCCATTGTAGCAATAAGAGTGGGGACACATTCTCGTAATCCTGAAGCAAAAAGTGATTCATAAACGACGATCTCGCCGCAACGAGCATCTGTTGGCCGCTCAGTGGCTAGAGGCGCCCTTAGAACCACTGAAGATAGGTTGTAGGCTCGCTGGATTCTAACGACATCACATTCTTTCAGGACCGATGGTGGGTTTTTCATGAGCTCATTCTCACTAAAAGTGTTATCCAAGCTAGCAGGAGGAAATTCATCTTGTGAAACAGACATCCTCCGAGCACAGTGACGACCCAAGTTGGACTCACGACGCAGCCTTAACCTACTACTCACTGTAGATGTGTCAAGTGGGGATTTTTGAGGGTTTTTCATGGGCTCAGCATCGTTTGGCAAGCTGAGCACGCTCAGGCAGACAATAAGCTCTTATGGGTAAAAATCAACTAATAAGCTAACGAGAAGAGACATGTAAGCTACCTTCAGTCTCGTAGTGGCTAGAACCGAGGAAGAAATGAAATGAGAAAAAGCTCTAACAACGACCGCTAATACTACTACCAATCTGCAACAAAAATGAGGCAAAAAGACTCAAGAAATTAGTAGAAAACTGCAGAGCTAAGTAAGGAATACAATCACAACCTAAATTTCGACTTACTCAAGCTTGATTTACAACCAGAAACTGGGAGAAGGCTGTTCATTTTTGGATCTGTAAAAATGAAAAAAAGGGGAAAGCAAGTGCAAAACAGGTCACCATCTTCATCCCACAATGATAGAAAATAACGGCAAAACAAAGCTATCAAAAATAGTTAATTTTCTGGTAGCTATGAAGAGAAATCTACAGAAGCAGTGGCTTTCTCACCTTGAAGAGAAGCTGTGGCTAGGGTTGCAAACGAGTGAACAAAGAGATAAACGTCTCCTAAATTTGGTGGGCCTATGAAGTTAAAAGCCCATGTGGGCAAAACTATGACCCATATTTTTGGTCAGAGAAAAATAAGATGTTGGGCTTAAAGGGCCCAAAATATCTCAAACGTTGGTTATTAAGGTACGTAGTGTGTTTATATTAATTTGTACAATTGGAAATAGAGTGGAAATATGTATATATACAGCAAAATAGCATTTACGGTCCTCACTACTCTCCATATTCTTACAAAGAAAATAGAGAGTGGGGGGCAAACTGTTGGGTATAATTTTATTCATGTATTTGAATAAGGCCCAGCACGACTTAAATCTAGTTAAGCAGAGAAAATATGAGAACATTCTAGAAAAGTCTTGAAAGGGTCAATAGAGTCTTGCTTGCGGAGCACGACACACAAATAACACGACGAAAATTTAGCAAACCGACTTGGTCCGAATATTTGGGGGATTAATCTTATCCGATATATCGGGGTCGACCTTATCAAGTAAAGATCGAAATATTTAACTCCGATTCCCACGAGGATTAGGAGAGGACGATTTTCTCTATAAAAAGGGGAGACTACCTCAACGTAAAGGACACGAAATCGAAAGCAAACACAAGTGACTACAAAAAACGGCGAGACACACGACTCAACTCTAAAACACGACTAGGGTTTATAAATTGATTCGTTGTGCCTTGATTCTTGTACTTTGCAATCGATACTTTGATCAATAAAGAGATTATATTCGACTATTTTTCTTGTTTTCCGTAGACTCTCACGAATCGATTACTTTTGCCAAAACATATGTCATGATTTGAATTTTTCAAAACAAATACAAACTGTTCAATCTATGAATAAAACAATTGGAATGAGTGAAAAATCTAGACTTGAGTATAGGTAATAGAAAATATACATTAATCATCATCTCTATATTAATTATAAAAACAAAAATATATTACTATTTTCCAAAAAAGGAATAACCAATCAAAATTAACATAAAAGATTTCATATCTAACTTCCCATATCCTAAACTATTATTTGGGAAGTACGTAGCATTGAGAAGTGTAAAAAATTACATTAGCATGTCACTACAAAAATGTAATCAAAGACGAAATTAATACACGTCATTAAAAACATATTTACAAATAACTCAATTATTAATCTCACAAAACCATGAGTCATCAAACGTGTTTTCAAAGATTACATAAACAATAACATCAACTAATTAGGTAAGTGAGTATTTAGGAAGATTTTGTGAACAATAAGATCAAATATACATTTACCTAAAAATTTATTTGTTACCTAAAATAATTTATGCAATTTGATTAATATAATTAAATTATTAAAAACAAAAAATACATTATTAATTTTTTTAAAATGAACAATCAAAATGACATATAATATTTGATATCTAATTTACCATATTAATTTATTATTAATCATTATTTTTGACTTCTCATCTTTATAGGATCATTTTTTAAAAAACAAATAAATCATTATATCATGTATATAATAATAAAAAATAGATTTATTTCAGCATATTTCATGATTTGAGTTTTTTTAAAACAAATATTAATTGTTCAATCTATAAAAAGAAATTTAACGTGTCAACAATTCAAAACTTGAGTAATATATATATATATATATATATATATATTATAAATAAAATAAATTTAACAAAAATTCTTACTAAATAACGGGTCCAAATTTAAATATTTCAATTCAGTTTCATCTTTCTTTTTTATGAAATATATAATTTTATATACTACCATAAACTTTTATAATATTTAGTTTAGAACATCTCTACAATAATTATTTGAGAAGTAGAAACACACCATATTGAAAGTTAGGGCATTGGAGACCTGTGGTTAAAAGTTAGAATGATTTGTCCTAAACACCCTTAATGAATTGTTCTTCTCGAAATTTCTCCTTCTTCGTAATTAGGGGTATATAAGTCTAATCGTGTGTTGATCTCTATTATAATGTCCTAAACACCCTCAATTCGAAAATTTTTGTTCTTAGTTGTTAAGGGTATATAAGTCTAATCGTGTTTTGTGATGATTAGTCTTAATCACCCTTATTTTTTTTTATTTTATAGTATGATCGTTGGGGATATGGAGGTCATAATATCTCGACTTTAATGATTATGGAATCTTAGCTTAAATTTATTTGTTAATTTTTTAGATAATTCTATAACTTGGCAGTTAAAATTCGTTTTTGTTAGTTTTCTGATTTTGTTTCTAATTAAAAAGTTAAATTTCTTAAGATAATGATTGATGTTTGCCCTAATCTTAAAGCTATATATATTGTTGATCGGCTAGAGGATTAGGTATTATTTTTCTGTGGCCATTAGATAGTTTTCACCGTTATGGTTTTTTTATATAGCTACTACGATTCTGATGAATCGAGTTGTTTGTCATGCAAATATTGTTTTCATGGACCTTTAAAGGTCGTGTGCATATTGTTTGTGTTGTTTGTTTTATTTTTTTGCATTATTCGATGATTTATTGTTTTGCTAATTTGGTGTTTTTGGTGTGTGTTTCAGTTTTGTATAACGTGGGAGGTTCCATCGACAAAGCTCTCTGACGAAGGTGGTGTTGACGAGCAAAGAGCGAGGTTTGGGGAGGTACTTCTATAGTTTTAATTTGTATATTTTTATATTTATTTACCCATATACATTTATGTGTTTCTTCCTGTTATCGTATATACTTTTATATGCGATTTTATTGCGTTTTATTTTTTAGTATTGATTTATAATTAAATTGTCAAATAGTTTTGAGTTTATGTGCAAGGTTTGACATGTTATTGTTTGATTTTCATCTTACCGTGATTTTGAAGGTACTCGATGAACTCATATCTCGGTTTGTGTCGGTTTATTGGAAACAGGTATTTCTCTTATTTGTATCTAATATGTTGGTTATTGTGGATCGGTTTTAGTTTGATATTAATTTTCTAACTTTTAAATGATGATTTGGCTTTTGTTTTTTGTATATATATTTCGCGATAATCAAATGTTACGGGTTATTCTTATTTCGTACCGTTGGCTTAGGTAACCGCTGGTGTTTCCTTCTCCCGAAGATGCACGAATGATATGTTTTATTTTAATAAGGTATTTTGTCGAATATTGTGTATTTATTATGTAACGTAATAATCGTTTTATGTTTAATTTATATATTTGTTTCTCTGATGTTTTAGACCACACGGAATTGGCGTAGAAGATTTGTTGCTCCGTCGTGTTTTACGGATCGCGTGGGCTTTTGTAAGCATGTATGTTTATTCTCTTATTGTCTTATGTGTCATGACTTGTATATATAGACATCAGAATATCTTACCATTCTATAAGGTATGATTTTAATTGTTTCGTTTGTTTGTAAAGGTTTTGAGTGGGCTGAAGTATTCATTACGACCAAATATTTTGAAAGAGGTATGTTGTGTGTAGTTTACGTATTTGTTAGATCCTATGTCCTATTATTATAGATGTCTTCGTGTTTTCTAAATTATTTGTTTGTTTTCTATTGTCTACTTATTTTTTGGTTTTTTTTTTTTTTTTTTTTTTTTTATGTAGAGGACTGAGATTGGAAGCAAAGCTAGGAGTTACAGCAGTATCTATTTGTTGTTTAGTTATATTGCTAAGGGTAGTGATGTATCTGTTGATAAATACGGATCATACCCTTTGGTGTTTGGTATTGATCAAACCGTACCAAATTTTGGATCGGGGCCTATATTTGAAGACTCTGATGATGAGTAATTATTTTATTTGAATTTGTTGCTATTTATTTTGGCTTCTATATATTTTATTTAGTTAATGATTAATATTCTGTTTTAAAAATTTATGTCGATCTAACTCATTATATCATATTAGCGATGGTTCGAATTATTCTTATTGGCGTTATCTATCTTAATATGGTGTGAGTTTTGTTTTATGTATAATCTAGAGATTCACATAGTCATTAATATTATTTTGTTGCTATTCTTATGTTTTAAATAGTTATTAGGAAAAAGATATTCTTTAAATTTAAAATTTTGTGGCTATGACTGCTTAGTTCAATTTCCACCGTGTATGTGCACTGTAAACAATTGGTTCATTTATTTCGAGATTTTCTATCTCTCTCTGATTCCTAAAAGAAAACTGAGGGTCTTGGGCGGTGGTTTCGTTCAAAGATGTCCGAGCAAATCTACCTTTCTAATCTTGCTCGAGGTAGGACGGTTAAGTACGTTCGGGTGAAGATTCTGAGTCTTTGGAGGGTTCGCATCTACGGATTTAGGTGTAAAACAGAAATGCTTCTTGCCGACGAGCAGGTGCGTGTGTCTTTGTCGTTTTTTCTTTTGATCGGTTAGTTTGTTGATTTTGGGTGGATCTACTAGATTATTTTTATAGTTTTGCTTATTTTATTATAAATCTTTAAGGATTATTTGTCTTTGGTTTGTGATTTGTTGTTTAGTTGTGTTAAGAAATATTTGATTTTTGTTGTTTTGCATGTACCTAGGGGACAAAAATTGAGGGTACAATCGGTTGTGGTCCTTTCCATAACGTTGATATGAGGGAGTTAAGGGAAGATGCGTGGTATACTATTTCTGACTTTGTTGTTTCTATTCCGATCCGGAGGACCCCGAACACACTTCACCCTTTCCATATCAAGTTCCACAGTGATACAAAGATGACATTGATTTATAATCTATACTCGCCCAATTTTTTTGAGTTTGCAAAATATTCTGTCATTAAGAGGAGGCTTTTGGAGGCAAATCGTCCCTTTGGTGTGTCACATTCTTTTTATTAGCTAATCTCATTTTTGGTTTCTATTATTGTTTGAAGTATCTTTAGTTTTTTATTTGTTAGATGTTCTGTGTTGTTAGAAACCTCTTATGTCTCTATTGGTATGATTTGTAGTGATATGTGTTCTTTTTGTGAGTTTGCTAGATTTATGTGGAGTTGTGGTCTATGTGTCCGAAATTAAAAGGATGACTTATGTTCCCGGAGAGTATGATGCAAGTACTGCATGCAATTATCTATATTTCCGTCTCATGGATCAGAAGTAAGTCTATGAATTTGATTTTGTTTTGGTGCTATATTTAGTCCATGGTTATTCTTGGTTTTTTTTGTGATTATGTAGAGTTTATTTAAAGACTGTCACTGATCTTAAGTGTTTTTGAAACGGTGATTAATAAAACAGAGGTAGGGAGCTGCCATGTTTTGCGCTTGGTCATTATGCTGCTGATTTTATGAATGTGTGGACAAGCCGAGGCTACCAGGCTTCATTCCGTTATCAACCTGTTTTCTGTGTGTTGCGTTTCTGGAAAGTCGATGAGTTCATGGGTATGCATTTGGTGTATTGATGTCGAATCTATTATAGATAATATATATAAAGGGCTTATTCAAATTGTGTTGATGTGGCTATAGGTGAACCTTCTATCTCCACCAGAATTGGTTGTTCTAAGATATATCTTGAGCCAACATTACCGGAGATCAAGGACTTGAGGATGATGTAAATGATTATTGTGATTTTTTAGTGTTTATATATGTAGTTTGATTTTGTTATGGATTCAAATTTATTATTTTGTTTAATTTAATAAATTTAATTCTCAGGTCTGTTTTCATAGCTAGGATAACATGGGCTATTGAAGAAGGTGAGGATTGTGATGACGACGGTGAAGTTGTTGATCAGAATTCTTAATGTTCTTGGTGTAAATCAAGGATTGTATCCCTATTTCCGTAGTGTGCATAAACATGGATACCCTCTTCTGTTGGTTTAATTTCTTTTTGTAAAAATCTCTTCTTCTTGTGTTATGTTATTATGTCATGTTGAGATATTTATTTGGGCTTTGTAACAATTATCTTTTGTGTTCGAGTTTTGAATATGTCTTTATCTTTAGATTCGTTGAGGTTATCTAAACTACTTTGTAGATTTTCTAATTATTTTATATTGTAGATTAGCTTGTGGTAGAGATTATGTCAGATTTTTGATGTATGACTTGTGTTGTCATATCTTGCATGGTTTGTAATAATTACACAGCAACATTTTTTATTTAATTATTGATTATACAGTAATCGATGTTACGTTAGATTGATTTCTATATTAGTTGTAATATACTTCCAATTCCACTCATTAATTCACGCTGCTAGTTCTAAAAAAAAAAAACAGAGAAAAAAAAAACTCTTCGGTTTCTTGGTTCGTCTTTTCGGATTATCGAGATTTCTTATTGAAGTATCTATAACCAGTTATCAATTTTAGTTGTTTCCTTCACCATGGCTTACTTCCATGATGTTTCGATTTTGCGCCCTTGTATTACGGGTTGGCACATACGAGTGAAGGTTCTGCGCATGATTACTGTTTGCATAAATCCTCGGAATGCTCTCCGTTTGGTTCTGGTGGATGATAAGGTACTTTGGTTTTGTTCTGTATAGATTTGATTTTAAAATGCTAATTCGTGTTAGTTACTAAACAGACTATGTCGTGTGTCTAGGGTTTTAAGATCGATTGTTGGATTAATAGTGAATATGCGAAACATTATGCTGAGTTTTTGGAGGAAGATCGATGGTTTTCTTTTACGGAGTTTCGTGTTCTTGAGAACTCTGATAGGGTCAGGCTTACCAATCATAATTTCAGAATGTCTGTCTTTGGAACGACTGTCGTTCTTCCCGCCGATCCACCGTCGACTGAACCCCGTGACTCCTTTACTCCGTTCAGTTCGATAATTGACGGAACGGTTGACGAGAGTGTCTTGATTGGTAAGTTATATATAATGCTCATTTTGTTTGTTGTGTTTGGAAATACCTGTCTGAATTATAGTTGTGTCTGTTTCTTAACTAGATTTGATCGGGGTTTTGTCTGATGTTGGTGAATTGGTGAATGTCGGGACAAATCCATCAGATCTCACTGGCTTCAGACTGAGCTTTCGGATTCGTGGGCCTTGGTTAGTAAATAGATGTTTTCTCCCTTTGTGAATTTTGTCTGGGTATTGTCCTGTTTGGTGTTAAATGTTAATTATATCATTTTTATTTTTGTTGTTTTGTTTGTGTTTTCTTGAATAAATATAAAGCGGGAATGCTATCGATGGTTTGGTGTCGGGACGCTCAGCGATGGAGTTCCGAAAGCACTATGACTTGTGTGTTTCGAAGCCTTTGGTCTGTATTATGCGTCTGTGGAAGGTAGACAGATATTTCGATGGACCAAAGAATGTTAGGATTGTTAACCAGGGGCTGATTTCTAAGGTTTTGCCATATCCTGATGTTCCTGAGGCTGCTGAATTTTGCACTATGTCGGTAGTCATTTCCTATATTCATTATTATTTTATTTTTTATTTTTTTGTTTTTATATCTGATTTTTTGTTTGGCTGCTTTGTCTTAGGTCTTGATGTGTTGGTGAGACAAGTGATTCGAACTACGACATTAACGGTGGATGTGTAGTGTGATTCGTCTGGACGTTGCCCGTGTGACTCTTTTGTGAATATCGGAAATGTTAACTGTTTGTTTTTGGTTTTGTACTCGGATCATCTTGGTTTGTATGAATATGAACTTAGAATAATATTCTCCTTTATGCGGTATTGATATATTATCGTATTGACATATGATAATCTTCTGTTTTTATGAATGATGGTATGTTTTGTAATTAGTTTCAACCATGGTCGCTAGATTTAAACGGTCATATATATAGATAGATTACATATATATATAGATAGATTACATATATATATATATATATATATATTTTTTAAAAATATATATAGATAAAAGGTTGAATTTATTTTCGATAATATTTGATAGTTTTCCGTTTTAGTGAATATTTTATTTATGATAGATTCTGTTTTAGTGGAGATTTATCTTATCATAAGTAAATTGTTTTGATAAAAAAAAAGTAAATTGTTTTATTTAGTATGTTAATATTGTTCAATTTCTATATTTTATATTTGTGAATCTTCCTAAACTAAATACTCGCGTGTATATATTATACTTGATATATATATATATATATGTATAATAAATAATATTCTCGCACTTTTCTTTATTCCGCAAAATTTGTTTCTATTATGGCTCATCTTCTCTCTAATGCCATCAGGAACTCGATTCGTAAAAGAGAATGTTTTTTTAGTGTTTCTGATTTGAATCCCTTTGTTCATGAGTGGAAGATTAAAGTTAAAATACTAAGAAAGTTTTATTTGTATGAGACGTTGGAACTAATATTGGTGGATGAAAAGGTAAACTAATGTATATTGGGCTTTGTCTTGATCTGTATCCAATCTAATGTTTCTTCGTAATTTTCTGGTAATCTATTATTTATCGATTGACATGCCTTTTTTCATTTTTTCGTCTTAGGGTCAAAAGATTCATGCTGTAATAAACAAAGAGTATGAGGATCGGCGCACTTCGAAAATTGTTGAGGACAATTGGATAAGTATAACTAATTTTGATTTGGTTCCTGTTACAGGAGCTTTTAGACCGGTTCCCCATCGTTTTAAGATTGTATGGAACTCAGGCACAACGATTAAGGACATTCGACCGTTGTGTTCCGCTGATTTCTTTTCGTTTGTCGCTTTCGAGGATATCAAAAGTGGTTCTTTGGACCCTACTTTATGTGTTGGTAATATCAAATTTTCTTATTGTTAATGTGTTTAGTGTAATTAATAATATTTTATCATGTGTTGATGTAGGAGATTGTTTTGCTTTTCGTTTTAATATTATCGTGTGCAATTTGATATGTAGATCTAATTGGACGTGTCGTGAGGGTTGGTAATGGAAGAGAGTCCGGCCCACCTGCTTTTGATTGGAACGAGTTATTTTTGGAACTGGAAAACGAAGAGTGAGTTTCTTTGTTGTTAAATGTTTTTTTTTACTGTTATTGTGTGTTTTGTTGTGGATATATTTATTTATATATATTAATATATAAATATTTATATCACTCTGGTCTCAAGGGGAGAGCGTTTGCAGTGTCGTTTACCAAATGAATACTCGAATGCGTTCTTTAACGAATGGAGGAATTGTCTTGATAACATCATCATATGTGTATTGAGGTTCGCGAGGCTAGAAGTTACTCGAGGTAATTCGATTGACATTTCCTGCATGTGATTTTTATTTTTCTGTCGTGTGTTGGATTTAAATATATTATTTATTTGTGTTCAATTTATTTAATGCGTTATTGTTTTTTTGTTTATTCTTTGTTTGGTTATTAGATTTCTGGAGAGCTACCACTGTATACACATGTACCAGGATTTTGCTAAATTATCGATGTGTTGAAGTTACAAGAATGAGGGATGTGTTTTACGATAGAATGGAAGCGGACGATTAGTTTTCAAAATGGATTTTGTATGCTTTTGGCTTCACATTTATTACTAATGATTTCTTATTCTGGCTTTGGCATTTTATTCGAACGATTTGGTTTAAGTTCTTAATGTTAGTAGTTGGTGTATTCTTTTATGCAAACGAATTAATCGTCATACTTTATCATAAAGTTAGTTAGTAAATTGATTTCTCTCTCTCTCTCTCTCTCTTTTCGGCCCGTTATCACGCATGTGGTCCTAATAAAGTGGATTTGGAAGATGCAAATATATATGACTAATTCAAAATTTATATAGTGTTCGTGGTAAGATTTGTATATTTTTTTTTTTTTTGGGTTAGTAATTGTGTACCACCTACTTTTTTTTTGCTTACCTTCTTTTGTTCTTTTTATAGATGTTGTTGGTAAGGTCGAGAACGTGAGTGAATTATATTTTGTTCCTTTAGTCGGCTCCTCCGGAGGATGTTTTGAAATCTTATTTGATCTGCGTAATCCAGAGTATGGTGTATTGTTTCTATTCGCATTTTTTAAAAAATGGGATAGTAACAAATCAACGATTTCGATAAACCTTAACTTTATACGATTGACATTATAGTACAGCAGCAATATTGCCCAGTGATGATATTGGTTTGGAATCTAGCATTCCTACAGTAAGCAATATATTCTGATAACAGAAAAAGATAGAATATCGAATCTATTATATTCTGATTAATCCAATAAAGTAAGATTTTTATATTATAAGATACTGTTATGAGATTTTTAAAATAAAATATAAGATTGTTTAGGCCGATGAAAGTATAAGATTAGGGATATTAACAATATCAATTTATGCGGAAAAATAAGTTGCCTTTTTTAAAATGTGATAGTAACAAATCAACTGTTTCGATAAACCTTAACTTTATATGATTTACATAATGGTAAAAATAGCAGTTTTGTCCAGCGACGATATCGTGTGGCTATCTAGCGTTTCCATGGTGAGCAATATATTCTGATAGCATAAAAGGATATTATATCGAATTTATTGTATTCGTTTGAATCTAATTAGGTAAAATTCCAATGTTATAAGATATTGTTATGGCATTTTTTAAATATAATGTTAATTTGCGTAGATCGTGAGACCAATGAATATTCCTAACATTATTCATTAATTATTAACCTCCTTATTTGGGTATAAATAAAGGTGCGCGTGTCCCCTAAACGATCACCTCTTGATCGATTGGATAGCATTCTCCCTGTTTCTTCAGTCGTAAAATGTCTCAAAATTCCCCACACGATATCACAAGTGACGTAGACCAACCGGATGTTTGTGTTGATTTTGCTGACTTAGGCCCCGGCATGGTTACTACGAGGGTTAAGGTGAGAATTATTAGGAGGTTCGTGTGTCCTGCGTATGGCGCTAGGTT